AAAAAAAAAAAAAAAACATCAGAAGAAGGATGAATAAAGTTGTTTTTTTACAGTAAATTTCAGAAGTAAAGAGAAAAGTGCCGTTTTTGACCAGATGTTTTCAGTTTGTAGATGATCACAGTCCTGCAGCGCCCCCTGCTGTCTACACGTCACAGCTGCAGCTCACCTGCTCAGGTGAGGCTGTCACCTGGCTGCTGCTGATCCTCTCACTGAAGCATGGAGCTGGCCTACGTGTGCGAGTGGGACAAACGTCCTAAGAGCACTCACTGTCCGTCCATCCCGCTGGTCTGCTCCTGGTCCTGCAGGAACCTGGTGGCGTTCACCACGGACCTGAAGAGTGAGGATGACGACAAAGGTTTGTGTAACACACACACACACAGACTCACACACCCTGGCCTCCACATGTTCTCAGATGAATTTCTGTTATAGATGTCAGTCACATGATCCACATCATCGACACTGAGCACCCGTGGGACGTCTTCTCCATCAACTCTGGACACAGCGAGGTCATTTCCTGTCTGGAGTGGGACCAGTCAGGTGAGACTGTTGTTGTTTGCTGCTGTATTTGTCGTGTTGTGTACCTGTGTGTTTGTCTGAAGGCTCCCGCCTGCTGTCAGCGGATGGTGACGGTCAGATCAGGTGCTGGTCCATGTCGGATCACCTGGTCAACAGCTGGGAGACCAACCTGTCCAGCTCTGTAGACGGAGACCCCATCGTTGCTTTGAGCTGGCTGCACAACGGTGTCAAACTGGCGCTGCACGTGGAGATGGTGCGTTGTGATTCACTTCCTGCTGGTGACCAGTACAACACTGGAGCAGGTAAACATGTGACATCATGCCTACCTGTGTCTCCTTGCTTCAGTCCGGATCAACAAACTTCGGAGAGAAGTTCTCGCGGGTGAAGTTCACTCCTTCTCTCATTCTGTTCGGGGGTAAACCCATGGAGGGCTGGTTGGCCGTGACGGTCAGCGGGCTGGTCACCGTGTCGCTCCTGAAGCCGGGCGGGGCTCTGCTGACCGCCAGTGAGAGTCTGTGTCGGCTGAGAGGACGCGTGGCGCTGGCCGACATCGCCTTCACAGGAGGAGGAAACATCGTGGTGGCCGCCACCGACGGCAGTAGCTCCTCCCCCATCCAGTTCTACAAGGTGAGAGCAGGTGACTGCTGTGTAGCTCCTCCCCCATCCAGTTCTACAAGGTGAGAGCAGGTGACTGCTGTGTAGCTCCTCCCCCATCCAGTTCTACAAGGTGACAGCAGGGAACTGCTGTGTAGCTCCTCCCCCATCCAGTTCTACAAGGTGACAGCAGGTGACTGCTGTGTAGCTCCTCCCCCATCCAGTTCTACAAGGTGACAGCAGGTGACTGCTGTGTAGCTCCTCCCCCATCCAGTTCTACAAGGTGACAGCAGGTGACTGCTGTGTAGCTCCTCCCCCATCCAGTTCTACAAGGTGACAGCAGGTGACTGCTGTGTAGCTCCTCCCCCATCCAGTTCTACAAGGTGACAGCAGGTGACTGCTGTGTAGCTCCTCCCCCATCCAGTTCTACAAGGTGACAGCAGGTGACTGCTGTGTAGCTCCTC